AATAGATTTATGTATTTCGAATAACTTTTTTTTCAGATGATAGCTCTAATCTTCCTCTACAAAATGGCATAATTTGATCAATAACTTCATATAAGTTTGTCATATATATCATCGATTTACTAACAGGGATCGAAACTTTTGGATCATCCTTTAACATTGATCGAATTCAAGATTCTGACGAAATAACAATAATTTCTAAACGATACCTTCGGATGTAATGGCCAATTCCTTTTTTTTTTTCGAAATCATTGAAATAGTATGTTCAAACAGTCTTCTTTACTATTTTTATACAAATAAGTATACAAATTCATAAACGAATAATTAAAACAAAATAGTGATTAATTAAACGAAAAGATTCATATAGCAACTAAATACTTCAATCATAGAATAAATTTCTAAATCGAAAAATATATAAATATAGATCATTGTTAATTGATTAACCCTTGTTTTCTCATACATTATAGTTGTCTGATGTTGCTTCTTGTTGTTGTTTATTTTTGAAAAATTTAGTTATCGAACCAAACATTTTAGTCAAAACAAAAATATCTCAATCGATACAAAACAGATCAATATTAAAAATAATAAATTTTATACATGATCAGTAGATTTTTTGAAGTTTTTCATAGAATATTTAATAATAAGATAAGAATTTTTTTTTTATCAATTATTAAAAGTCTTCTAATTGACAGATATTTACTTCTTCATTGTTCAAGTTACAATTTGCAACATTATTTCATTTAAAATATTTGGCAATTTTGTTGATTCTTTTTCGAGTTAATCACCAATAAGTAGTATTAATATTTAAGATTCTTCTTCAATCAGTAACTGTTACTATCATTTCATCATGTCTCGATAATAGTGTTATTGGAATTTCCTGTGTGATTAGTATTTTTTGTTAACATTTTTTTACTATTTCAAATCACTTGAAAATTTCTATCAAACCATATGATATAGTCTGATTGCTTATGAGATGGACAGAATAAAAGCACTTATTATCGTCAACAATTGAGTTCAGTATACCTGTACAATTGATTAGCAATTCATTTTCGATACTCTTCATTTAAAAAGATATGTTTTTAGTTCCTTGACTCAGTTTTAAACAAATACGATAAAAAATACAGGTGATTAATTCCGTTAGTTACTCAAAATCAAAGGTTTTTTTGTATGGTGTGATATCAAAGCAAGGACACATAAAACGTGAAACGTATTTGATTGTCATCAAGTATATGATGAATAAAGGGATGCATAAATATATATGATTCTCTTATAATGTCATTGAATAAATACAAAAAGACAACATTGGGATGATTTTCGTGATTGTTATTTTCACAAACTAAGTGTACGACAAACGAATAGACATATTTTTTCTTAGAAAGTAAAAACGAAGTGATAAAAAACAAATTCAAGTGTCAATATATTTTTACGCATCGAAAACATTATACAATAATGTTACATGAACAATTCACCTCAAACAATAATAGAAAACAAAAAGCTAAATCAAATAGTGACGAATTCTTCAATATATTAGGAAAAGTTAACAAATTTCTGGAATATACATTTTCATTACCAATGAAAATATATGATGATTTTGTGAGTAATATTTATGACTTAATTACTAACAATCTAGAATCATGTGCAATGTGTACGTGTATTACAATAACTGCAACAGTGTCTGTTACATGTATTGCAGTTGGAGTTGGTATTGGCACTGGCATAGGTTGTTTTCGATAAGATTCTACTAGCTCAAAGTCTAAGAACGCTTAATTATTCAAATTATAACAATTCCATAAACAAACAATAAATTAATTTTTATTTCATTCTTATATTATTAATCATGTAACCAAGATTTATTTATTGATAAATACTTTGAGTTTCTTTTTTTATTTTGTTCTATTTAAAATAAAAAATAAAATTTTTAAATATACCTAATAAGAATATTGAAAAAAATATATCATCAAAACCAATAATCATGTACACTAGATACCAAAATTATTCAACAAAGTTTATTTTTAATATTTATTTTTCACTGCCGTAAGCATTAGAAAGAATTCAAATAGAGCAAATGACTTTCAACAAGAATATAAGGACATCAAAATTATTATCTGACTTTTAAAGATAGGAGAACTCCAGAAAACTAAAGAACTAAGTTTTCAGCATTTAGATTGCGTAAATATAATTTTCTTTAGGTTACATAGAGCAATAGAGTAAATAATTGTTTACAAATGAGACATCTCCCAGTTCGCTGCAACAATTTTCGACTAAGACAAACTAATTTGATTGAAAGTCAAACAATAGCTGTTCTATCGGAAATAGTAAAACAAAGATTTTGTGGGCTTTCGCAAGATTGTAGTATCTCAGCTAAAAGAAAAACGCTACATAGAACTCGCAGTCATCTCATTTTGTAAACAACTATTTGCTCTATCATTTTTGTAGTCTTAACAAAATTATATTAACGTGTAATAAGTACTGAAAAATTAGTTTTTTTTCGTTTTTTGAAATTGTGTATCTTTGAGAACCAGATCATTATTTTTGTGTCCTTATATTCTTATTGCAATCCATTTTATCTATTTGAATAATTTTCTTACTCATTGTATTTGATCATTATTCGAAACTTAATAGAATAACAAATTAATATTATTTTGTATCACAAATGAAATGATACTGAATTTTTAATATTTAAAATTCTCATTAATTCTGTATAGTTTTCAATCTAATAAATCTTATTTTTATTATTTTAATTAAACTCATAATTATTTTATTTATTCAACAAAATATAAAAGTTAAACAAATTTTTATTAAACATTTGTCAATTAAATTAAGAAGAAAATTAAAATATAATTTAGAAGTTTAAAATAAAAATTATTATGAAAATAATAAATAAGAACACCAAATAGAAGTTAGTTAACTTGCCAAAAAATGTTTCTTTATTAAACGAATTCATATGAAAACGAAATAAATATTATTCGATTCTTTTTTTTCTTGAAAGTCAATTTTCAAAGAAAAGGCGTAGCCAATGGAGAAGGGCTCTCTGTAGTGGTTGCATAATAAATGGCTGCCTTAGCAGCCGTTAGATCAGCAGCCGCCTTAGCAGCGGCTACCAAACTGGTTACATCGGTAGCGATTGCAACAGCACTTTCAGATTGCGCACAATTCAATCCAACACCAAGTCCAATACCTAATCCAATTCCAATAGAAATTGCCATAGTTATAAATGAACTACAAATGCACATTGAACATAATGCTGGACTTATTGACCAGAAGTCTAATGATATTCCAAATTTATCCAATATCATACGTGGAAGATCAACAAAAAGTCCCCACATATGTCCTAAAAATTTTTTTATTTCCATAACCTTTTGCCATGTAGTTAGTTTTGTTCTTGTTTGAGACAATCTGTTTGTTGGTGCAGCATAATTCATTATTATTTTCTAAAAATTCAAATAGATTATAATCAAATTAAATTATTTATAATAACGTTACTTCTTTTATTTTAGAGCTGCCTACTTTTGTGTATATGTTGTGATAAAACTAGACTCTTTGCCAAAGTTACTAATTCAGTATGACATATAAATCATATAGAAAAGTCATGTCAAATTTTTTTTTATCGATTAGAGACGGTCTAACTATTACAAAAGCATGGTATCCATGTCCTTCATACCTATTGTGTTGACGATGACAAAAGGCCTTGGTAAAAGACTACCTGTCTATGCTTTTATATGATGTTCTAAAGAAAAAAAGAATACAACCTTCGAAAAGTACTATTGTTTGTTTATCGTCGAATTAACAGTTAACAGACTATCGATGAGAAGCTATCTTACCACAACAAATTAAGTACGACGAGAGAAAAACAATCATTAGCCGAAAAATGTATAAATCACACAATCGAAAAAATAAAAACATAATTATATGGGACACAAACTTGGATATGAGTCACCGTAACAATGCAATAAAACACATGAGAATATTATTGAATACTCACTGCATTTTTTCCACATTAATCATTTTAAACATTGAACTCTAAGAACCTTCGATAAACTAAAAGAACTCTTTCCAACAATGAAATTTTGAAAATTTCTTAAAACCTTAAATTTATATGTTCACATAAAGAATAAAAACCTGGTATATTATTATAGTTTCCATCTTCCGAAAAAAATATCTGAGACAACCTATTCTCTTGATTGAATAGACTATCATCAACAACTTGTTGCAAACAAAACAAGATTTTTTACAAAACATTCCATATCATGAAAAACGCGAAAAAAATCGGTCATTCTATCGAGATTATTCAAATACATGGTGATCCATAAATAGCACTACAATAAAAAAAAAAGAAATGAATACCTTCGCATCGATCAAATTAAATACGCTATTTTATTGATTAGCGGTAAAAATTCATTCAAATTTTTTTTATACAGACAAGGTAAGTAAACATTGCTGTTAACTATTATTTTTGGTATCATCAAAGAAATCCTATCTGTTGTCGAGTTAAAAAGATTCATGTATAATGTTTCATGGATAATTTTTAGTTGTCATATAAGAAAATAATAAGAACAAGTGAAAACGAACTTCAGGAAATAAATTGATATTGATATAGATAGAGTAAATTTCTAAAACCAGTTAGTCTAAAAGTCAATGAATACAAAATTTCGAGTTTTCAAATATAACATACTGTTTTTTTTATTGAAAACACGAATTTCATCATTTACACTAACTAATAGTTTTGAGAATTTCCTCTATATGCATCGATGCAGATTCATTCATAAAGTTTGTTTCGACCTATTCTTATTTTTCTTCTACATGAAAACTGACAATTATCTATGAAAAGTTATATATGTATTTTGTTTACTTGATCATAAGTAAAATTTCTTTCATTATACCAAAAAAAATACTTAAAAGTAATAGTTATTCACCTTCTTCGTATGAAAAGAAAACTTCAAATGAACCCATACGACTAACCAATAAAACAGTTCATTTAATTGAACCGATACGAAAATATTTAATTTTTTTTATCTTGATAGTATTTATGGACCATCCTATAACAAGTAACGCTCGTCCGTGTGACTCGCTTGACCCTCGACTGCATATTCGGCCCTTTCCATTTTTTCTTCTGATTTACAGTCTTCAACACAGCTAGTATCCGATGTTCCAAAAGGGTGGGCAGGTATGTGTACGCTAACATTGACGTCAATCATATTGTGCATAATTGTATGCGGGCCCGGATGAACATTTTGCCACAAATGCATCCAATGAAATTGATACCCTCGCATTGACACTCAACAATAAATCTAAGGAATCACACTATGACGACGCTATCCATATGTACCCAAAAAAGGAGCTCATATTCAGCTTTCTGAGAGGTAATGAAGCAAAGTTCATTCGCGAAACTTTCGTGAAAACGAGCCATACTCCTTAAAATTTTTACTAAAAGTCCATTCGCTTGCTGACTCAACTGCCGACAATATTGTTTACTAGAGCGTCCGCTAGCAAAATAGGGCCTACTCGAACTTCTAGCTTACAATTAATCATATTAGGTCTGGTCTATAATCGGGCAGCCACACTTAAAAGAAGCTCCTACTCATATTAGCCATCAGACTACATAGGTAATTTCAATATATCCATATACATTTCGGCATTTCAATCAGTATCGACAAGAAAGCATCCCACCAAGGAAACCCCCGTTTATTTCATTCAAATAGCATTCCGATAGAACGAATATAAATTCTATAAATAATCTTTTTCCTCAAATGTACTATTCAAATATCCCACACGCGCAGAAAAGGCTTTCTCACACTTTATTTCAAAATATTTCTCAGTTCTTAGAAACGGCTACCCCTTGTTCAAACCCGTATGACCTAGACTCTTGATGTCTATTTGATGAATACCCGCAACTTGAAGCATTTCTTTAAGGGACTTTCTAGTGCAGCGGCTAATCGTTCGTCGGCGCCCCTACAGGGCACCACTCACGACTAGCCGCTGCTATGTTTCGTTCTATTTCTCCACAGCACTATCGATTTCTATTTACACTTCATCTAATCCCAAACTCGGCTTAATTCGAAAAACCATTAGATCTATAAAATGTCTCGGAAGGAATTCAAATTCTAGTCTTAAATCTTGACCTCTGCTTCACCGGTCTCTAACGGTCTGTGGCGGGGGTATTACATGTCTGTAACGGTCTGTGACGGGAGTAGCACCTGTCTGTAACGGTCTGTGATGGTTGCGTCACCTGTCTGTAATGATCTGTGACGGTGGCATCACCTGCCTGTAACGGTCTGTGACGGGGGAAGACCCGATTTATCGGAGGGGGAAGCATTTGTCTGTAACGGTCTGCTGAGAGGGGAGTTCAAACTTCTATCCTAAACACTTCAACACTCCTTTGAGGTCGTCTTTCACAAAATACCGAATCCAAACCACACATTTCGTTCCTCTCGCAAACTTCCTTCAAAACTGTGAAACGTTTTAAACCCAAAAGGTCGTTTTTCATTCGCCGGTTACTGACCAATCAAACCTCACCCAAACAAATGGGCTTAACATTCGGATTCAAGCCACTCGATGACTTATAGAAACGTTTTCTCAAAACAGCAAAAAATCTAAAGTTAACAAAATTGGTTTCCGACCAATGAAAGCTCGGCCAAAAAAATGGGCCGTGTATTCGGATTCAGGGTCCTCGATAACCTCTAGCAAAGTTGCATCAGAACTTCCAAAAACGTTATAATAAAAAAGCTCGTTTTTCATTGGCCCGTTTCCGGCCAATCAGAGGCCGGCCAAAAGAATCTGACTTCGGATTCGGAATCCTGGCCATCGATAACCTATAGCAAAGTTGCATCAGAACTTCGAAAAGTCCTCAAATAAGCTAACACCATGAAGATGTTTTTTTGACCTCAACCAAACAAGCAAACAAGCAAACAATCAAACAAACAACCGCATTTTATTTCGTATGACCCTCCCTTCAGTCGAGGGAATATTTTCGATGTAGATATCATTCTCTTTTACCACTGAGATCATATATGTTTTTTTGTGAATGAAGAGAGGAATAATTTGTTTCTCCCCATACACAGTAAATAGAACAAAAAAAAGATTGCTTTTAACTTAAACAATATTTAATGTTTATTGAGATAATTAGATGATCTAAATACAAAACTAGAAAAAAAGTTATTTTCTTAAAAGAATACTCACTGCTCACTTTGATGATCAAACAATCTAAAGAGAAGAAGAAAATTTTTTATAGAATGATAATACTTACCTTACGCTGAAATCACCAGATAGTATGAAAAGCAGGAACAAAAGTTATTGTTATTAAACAATACTTATTGCCTATATCGCACTTTTATTCTCAGTACCGCCGGTATATTGCGGTTCTCGTCAGAATCAGGGACAGTACCTAGTATTTATGGTTTCAACTATAAACGATTTAGAATGTTTTCTATTTAAATCCGAATGCATTATTAGAAAGATTTCAAACTCACCGAAAACAAAAAAACAGTTTCAGAATATATCTTACTAATAAAAGTTTTTGCAGTGCCATATAGTATAATAAAACATTTATATCAGAATTGGTTAGGGCTCTGTGGCTAGTACAGGCGACTCAGACGCATGGGCATTATCCAGACTGTATCGAAATCTATTCGAATCTGTTAGTTTGAACAGATGTCAAACGATCAGTATATAACGATCTAGCGCAGGTTTTTGTTCGACTTAAATCACATGGATGTTCAATTTAACGATCAGATGATCTAAATGAAATAAAACTTTGGTTTATTAAATAAAATAATACACGCATATTACACATTGAGATGATCGTATAGTATAAATAGAAGAAAAAAAAATATTCATTTTATACAATAATATTTACAATTGAAGTATGTTGAAAAATTATCGATCAATCGTGATTAATCGCCAGAAGTAATGTGATTTTTATGACATGAATGGTCGCACCAATTTACTAAAAAAGAACTGATACATAGATCAGTTTTTAACAAAGAATTGTTGGAACAGTTCTCAAGACGGGAACTGATATGGATTTGTCGTAGGTATATTCAATACCAGACTATACAAAAATTTGATTATCTTTCAATTGAAAAAATTGAACATGAAAATTTTTCGAACATTCAAACAACAATATAAAAAAATATCAATGGTATTTCTATTGATATTAAGCTGTGATGGATAAAATAAAATATAGTTTCTTAATATAGAAATTTTCGCATAAAATATTTACATAACGAATTGAAATATTTTTCATTTTGCATCCAAAAGCAAAATCAAATGTAAAATCGTATGTTTTTTTTTTCTTGTGGTCTAATTTTAAATAATGAAATAAAAACTATGTAATTTGGTGCTTAAGACGGCTCCATAAAAAAAAAAGCTTTTTATTCAAAGCACTCGATGCTGATGAAATTTCCAATCGGCGCTTATCACCCATTAGGTACCTGATAGTAAGAATTTCAGCTCAATGGATTGAATCTTTGGAGAGTTAGCTTAATATTATAAATCAAACTATAGGTGCCTATGGGTAACGACTTTCTCCGCTATTTCAAATGCTAGAAAGTTTAAGTTGGTTTTAAAATGTAGCCAAGACATAGTGATACATCTTAATAGAGCTCAATTTTTCTTAGTTTGTGTTTCTCGTCAATTCTTCTGATAAAGTACGAAAAAAATCCGGTGGTATAAGTTCAGAACCTTTAGTTTCCAGTAAGCTTTAAAGAAAAAATCGACAACTTCCGGTTCTGTTAAATTTTACAGTTGGTTTTTGTCTTCATTTTGATGCCAACTAGAGATCAGCGGGGTCAAACTTTTTAGTCCCGAAACCCGAAAATATTTTTTATTTCTCCCCGGTCCCGACCCCGAAAAGCCCCGACTTTTTTTTCTCGTGAATAAGTAACGTCTAATATGCAAGACATTATATTGTGTCATGTATTTCAATTGCGTATTTGAAATAGAGAGGGCAAGGTCAATATCAGTTTATTGACTTGAAAGAAATAGAAACAGAAAAGAACGCAAGATAGATGAAATGAAACGAAACAAGAGTAACTGACTCTTTCAAGAGAAGACATGCATATATATGTATGAATATGTATATCTCTATATTGGGATGACTCGTACGACGAAGACAGAACAAAAAGAAGACAAAAGAAATATAGCAATAGAAATATTGTCACTATATGACATGTTGACAAAGAAATGTAGACATGAAAAATATTTTTCGGGGAGTCTCCTAAATTTTAGGATCCCCGACCCCGAAAATGTTTTTTCAGCCCCGACCTCGGCGGGGTCAGGGTGTCCCCGCTGGTCTCTAATGCCAACCCAAGTTCAGCTTTCTAGCATTTAAAGTGGCGAAGAAATCTTAGACACATGGAAACGTCAAAATCAAAAGACCCATTGGGAGAAAAACACAAAATAAATTTCAACATTCGGAATTCAACACTTTCTTCTCCATAAACTGCTTTAAAAAGAGTCTTCTAGCAATTAGTCATAGGTCACCACTTAGAATGAATCAAATAAATACAGATAAATATATACAACAAAATAATCTGTTGAACAAAAAAATCTTTAAATTCATCTAAATCAATATAAGTCATGTATAGAAGCAATATTTTCAAATTATGTAAAACACTTCAAAATACGTTGTACTCATCATGATTGAGAACGAGATAAAGAAAAGTGTATCGAAAACAAAAAAGTAAACAGTAATTCATAGTTTATTTTACATTGATAGGATAAGAGTGAAAAATCTTTGGCAATTTTCTCTCTCAACATAGATTTAGCTATGAATCAATCTTTAATAGTTTCGTTCGTTTTTTTTTTCATGTTCGAGTATTGTATTCACATATTATACTTAAGAATGCATGATAGTCATACCCATTACAGTTAAAAGTGAACAGAGAAGCTTGAAAGAGTTTAAAGATCAAACTTTTTAGAAAAAAGAAAATCGTTATTTTTTCCTGTGTGAGGATTTAGAAAAACCTATATATATTCTTCAATATCATCATAAAATCAATAAACTATAGTGCATTCGAAAGTAAACACTTTGCTCTATCTAAGGAGTTATAAATCACAAAATCGATAAATTAGACTGTAATTGACTTGTTCTGATTGGTACTTGAAAGATTTTTTTTCCTTTTAAAAACTGTAATTAATCTATTTAATCAATAATAATCAATTTATTTTCATATAATATCACTTTACTCAACATGATTATTGTTTTCTTGCTAATATGAAGATGATTCAGCAAAATACTTTTATCGAGAAAAAAAAAATAAGAAAAATATTCATAGTAAGTTTCTGGACGCCTACAAATGTTTGATTCTCACCCAAGGGAGAATAACTGACTTTTATGACTTTAAAGTCATTTAGATCGCGAAAGTCATTCAAAGTCATCAATAACTCAGAATATTTGAAAGCGAATGTTAGTCAATATTCATCTAGAATCTGTTCACATGTTAAAATATCAATATACGCTTTGAGGATGGTAGAAAAACAATGATTTTATCAAAATACGCATAGAATACGTGTATAACTATTGCTCATTAAAAAAAAGACTGGTAGGTATTTTTCGAATAACTTTTGATAGGAGCAAGGTAGTAAGCTGCAGTTTTCACCATTAGAAAGAGAAGATCCAGGCACATCAACGTATGCTAAAATCTGAGTGGTCAACAATGGGCCAATCGGATGCATTTTCGAGGGACATATTGAGCACGACACTTTGGACCCATTTTGCAACTTGGCTCAATTGTTAATTTACATTTCTGGTAGAAAAATTATTCTCTTGCGAGCTACACATGGCCCACCTTTCTAGCTTATTTGGTTCAAGAGATACAAGGGTTTTCCTGAAACCCCTGATTTCAGCCAATTAACCTTGGATCATCCAGAAAGTATTTTGGAATAGGGTAATTCACAAAAGGAAAACGACTGATTTTATGACTTAAATAATTTAAATGACTTTAAATGACTTTTTTCGCCTTAATTGATCTGAAAGATTGAGAATCTCCATAGTCTATCTTCTTATATTTCGATTTGTATCTCGTTATGTTTTGAGAATTCGATTTCCACTATTTTTCTAACTCATAATATGCTAGGAGATATCCAAGAAAACACTCATCCACGTTTTATGTTGACTCATCGCTTTCAACTTAATTGTTCAGTTTAACAACACAAAGACCAACTAGTCTATCGTTCGATTTGTTTCATAATATGTCTATCTTATCACCGTCTCTTGCAATATGTCGCTCTTGATTAGAAAACAACGTGATCTTCAACAATCACATTTGATCTCAGGTTCTGCATCCACATGATATTGATGTGCACAATAATGAAAATACAATCTAAAACTAAACGATCATTCAACTTTCTATCAATAAGTAGATGAATAAATATTATTAGAGAATCTGGTGATCATGAATACCTGGAAAAACTAGAAATGAGAAAAGCGATGACTATTTTCAAACTGAAAATATTGAAAATCGAGACTAACAGAGAAACATATTCAACTGTTAGATGCTATTCGACTTGATGCTCTAGTTATGAGTGGAACTCAATGGAACTAAGAAAACCATAGTCTAACTCGCGGCCAGTAGCGAATTTAGACATGAGAACAACGAAGTAATCGTTCCATCTGTCAGAATTTTTACCGTCAACAACGAACGAAAAACTAATTTGTAATTACTAGTTTGAATGGGCCTTCAAATTCATTTTTATTCATCGTTCCACCTCTCCCAGAAACTTAAATTCACCATTGTTCGTGACCATATCCTGTGGATCAAGTGTTAAGACTTCTTTGGTAAATTGCGTGCGTATCCATAGGTATATTCATCGGGAATGTTGAGTTGTGAATTTTACGTCTGCAATTTTGTTTTTACACAAGTCTGGTAGTTTATATAGCTCCTTGAAAGTATTAACTGCAACTTTAATGTTCTTTTGTTGTGATGTTGGATCTTCAAAACCTAATTATTTGTCAACGACCTCGTACGCAAACCGAGTTTACATGAATCCTCACTATCTTGATAAAGCAATATTGTTGTTAGTTAAAACTTTTAGAGTATTTTCAAGTCTATGAAACGTATCTTAGATAAGAATTTCGCACCTCATTTTTTGCAATTCAATATTTCAACGAATACGCCAGAATTTCAGTAAAACAATCATAACTCTTGCTGTATAGATTACGATCGCGAATCTTATTAGAATTTTCTTAGGCTCACTGGATTTCCCCACAGCTAAAATATAAGACCAAACAGCGTTCAGTACTTGGATTTGATTCCTCATATGTCAATTATATTCATGCCATTCAACTTCTGTAGAATATATGAGTTTTCCACAGAGTTTCTTTGAATATACACAATTCAGTGAGGATGACACGCATTTAGAGTGAATGAGCAAATTAGAATCAGAAAAACAACAATGTCTGGTTATTTTTCATACTCGTCGATTGTCATGACGACGATTTTTTGAGTTTCAAAAATATCATGCGTATAATAATGAACCAGATCACGTTGCAATTTCGATTTTAAGCATTGAGGATCTTCATGTTTATGAATGCCGATAACAGCTAGACCATGGAAAATTATTTTCCTGTTTCGTTAGCCTAACGAAAACTCGATAGCCACAGTGAACATGAGCAGAGTCCAAGAGGAAAACAACTGACTTTTACGAATATTAAAGTCATTTAGATCATTTAAGTTATAAAGTCAGTTGTTTCCCCCTTGCCAATTCACCATTTCGCCAATTGGCGAACACAGTAATACGAAAATATTTTATTTATTGGCGAATGTCACACTAGTAATTCGCCAATAGCGAATATACAATTGGCAAAATTACACAGACTCAGTCCATTACAAACACTATCAGAATATGTATAAATCTCAAAATCGAGTTTTTTTTCAAAAAGTTGACTTATATGAAGGGGGGAGGGGGCCTTAAAAACATCTTAATAGACACTTGACTTGATTTTAATGAAATAAAAATAATCAATACAGGTGATCATTACGATGAAGTAACTCAAATCGAAACATATTCTTGCATGATATCATATAAAATCAAGGACATAAACAACGTGAAATATATATCGTTTTCGTCAAATATATAATGAAAGAGAAGTAAAACAAAAATGTCTGATTCTCTTTTAACGTCATTTGATAAGTATAAAAACAAGTATCGGGAAATTTTCGTAAGTGTTATTTTCACAAAGTAAGTGTATGACAAATAAATAGACGCATTTTTTCTTAGAAAGTAAAAACGAAGTGATAAAAACAAATTCAAGTCTTAATATATTGTTATATATCAAGTAAATTAGACAATAATGTTATATGAACAATTCACCTCAAACAATAATAGAGAACAAAAAGAGAATTCATCAAATGTTAACGCATTCTTCGATGTATTAGGAAAAGTCAATAAATTTTTCTATTATACATTTTCATTACCAATGAAGATATATGAAGATTTTGTGGATAACATTTATAATTTAGTTGTTAATCATTCAACCTTATTTTCATGTTGTTTATGCACAACTATAACTGCAACAGTGTCTGTTACAAGTATTGCAGTTGGAGTTGGTGTTGGTAGTGGCATAGGTTGTTTTCCATCAGATTCTACTAGCTCAAATTCTACGACTGGTTAATTGTTCAATTTTTAACAATTTCATAAACAAGCAATATATTGATTTTTTTATTTCATCGTTATATTATCATTTATGTAATCAATACTTATTTATTGATAAATAGTTTGAAATTTTTCAAAATTTGTCGTTTTTTTAAGTAAATAATAAAAACTTTAAAATATAGTTAATAAAAATATTGAAAAAATATATTCCATCAAAATCAATAGTCATATACAGTAGATACCAAAATTATTCAATACCTAGGCAGACAAGCAACGAAAAATAACGCGTAAAAACCACACATTTTTACGATTTTTATTTCGTTAGAAATTTAATGCGTTTTTTTGCTGAAATAAGTGACCTGTTAGAGGAATGACAGCTATAATTCGTAGACTTTGGTTGCTTATAAATCATCAAGCAGTCTAAGGCTACGGATTATAGCTGTCAGTCCCCTAAAAGGTCACTTATTTCAGCAAAAAAACACGTTAAATTTGTAACGAAATAAAAACCGTAGAAATGTGTGGTTTTTACGCTCTTTTACGCGTTATTTTTCGTTGCTTGTCTGACTGGGTAAGGTTTACTTTCAATTTTTTCCACTACTATAAGTGTTAGAAAGAATCAAAACACTGATTCAAATAGAGAAAATGGCTACCAACAAGAATGTAAAAACATGCAATTATTATCTAGCTCTTGAAGATGGGGGATTCCAAAAAAACCCAAATCCTAACTTTTCAACACTTAGATGGTACAAAGGTAATTTTGTTTCGACTATACAAAACCTTAGAGCGAACCATTCTCTACAACATGAGATGTCTTCGAGTTCTCTGCAGCGTTTTTTGACTGAAATACAGCAATGTGATTGACATCCAAAAAATTGTTTTTTTTCTATGAAAAATAGAAAAAAACACTTTATGGGTTGTCATAGGATAGTTGTATCTCAGTTGAAAAAACGTTGCAAAAAACTTCAAGACCTTTCATTTCATAGTCTATAGCAAAACGTTCGAATTTTTTTATTTGATACACAGTTGATATACATCACATCATTGTAAAGAACGTAAAATGCTCAAAATACGGTGAAATTTGCTCACTGTGATATACAAAGTTTTCAGCAAGAATCACGTAAACGCCTTTTTCTTTCTCTTCTTTCTTCATTTGTTAAGTGTCTATGCATATGTGTATATGTATACATGCACGCATATGCAAAGACACTTAAAAAAGAAAGAAAGAGAGAAAAACGACATTAACATGGTTCTTGCTGAAGACTTGTTGTATGGAATTTTCACCATATAGTCATTTTCTAATACTCTTTCCAATAATGTAACTTTTATTAACTTTGCACGAAATTAAAAATTTCGACCAAATTGATATGAAATTATTTACCCTATCGTTCTATGGAATTTAAACAAAATAATACGTACGCAAATTAAGTGCTGAAAAACTAGGCCTTTAGTTTTCTGAAGTTCACTATCTTTGAGAATCAGATTATTATTTTTATGTTCTTACATTTTTATTAGAAACAATTTTCTTTATTCGAATCATTATTTCGATTGTTTCTAACGCTTACAGTTGTGGAAGAACAAATTGAAAATCAATCTTGTTGAATAATTTTGTTGCTCATTGTATAGGATCATTATTCGAAACTGAATAGAATAATAAGTCAATATTAGCTTCTATCACAAATGAAATTATACTGAATTTTTAATGTTTGAATTTCTCGAAAGTTCTATATGTGTTCAAATCTAATTAGTTTTATTTTTATTATTTAAGCTGAACTCTTAATTATTTTTTTTTTATTTAATAACATATAAAAGTTAAACGGATTTTGATTTAAAATTCATCAATTAAAATAGGAAGATAATAAGGATATTTAAAAACAAAAGTTATGATAAATAAACATAAATGGGTATTCTAGATTGAACTTAATTAATTTATCTATAAATATTTCTTAACGAGATTAGTTCATAGAACAGTCAAATAAATATTGTTCACTTCTTTTTTTTCACAATCACTTTTCAACCGATAATACCATTTGAATTAGGAATGTTCGTTGTATTTGTTGTATTGGTAGTGTTCATAGGAGTACTTGTAGATTTCGCACAATTCAATCCAACACTAAGTCCAACACCTAATCCAATTCCAACAGAAGATGTTATACCAATAAGTGCACCACAAATAAGAATTGAACAAACTGCTGGATTTACAGAAAAGAAATTTAATGATATTCCAAGTTTATTCAGTATCATCATTGGCCAACCAAAAAAGAAGTCCCACATGGTTCCTAAAAATTCTTGTATTCGAGCAATCTTTTCCCATCTATTTACAGGTTTCGGCACTTGATACAAATTGTTTGTTGCTGCAGGATAATTCATTATTGTTTTCTATAAATTCAAATAGATTATAATCAAATAAAATTATTTATAACAATGTTTCTTCTATTTTTTTTCATAATGAAACTAATGACAAGAATCTTTTATTATAGACTTATCTTCTTTTCTAAAAATGTCGTGATAAAGCTAGGCTATTTGTCAAAGTTACAACTTCAACACAAAATATGAAATATATAGGAAAGTTATGTCAGAATTTTGTGTACTAATAAGAGACGATCTAAGCATTAAAAAAAACACGGTATTCACGTCCTTCATACATGTTACTTTGACGACAACAGCATGTCTTGGTAATAAATTGCCTCCCTATACTTTTTTCTATGATGTTCGAAAGAAAAAGAGAATGTACTCTTTTTTTTTAACATAATAATTTTATTGATCCAATTAGGGTTACCAATTATCAAATACAAAAAAAAAGAAGAAAAAAAGAAAGTAAAAATCATCACATTAAATATAGGAAATATTTTTTGATTCGTTTTTATGTGATGTGTCTCTCCTCCTAGGACGTAACGATATAGTACAAAAAAGAAAAAGACATTTGATTACATAAGATGATGGA